CTCATTTTATCGAAACTCAATTATGGTGACCAGATCTATTCAGCAGCCTCTCCTGCTACTCTCTCTAGCCTTAATCCCATCCATCACCAAGGATTAGGTTTATGCCTTGGTGCTTTTCGCACTTTCCCTGTTGAGAGCCTCTATGCAGAAGCGAATGTTCCATCCTTGTCTGATCGCCGTGATACCCATTGCCTTCGCTACTATGTACGCTTTCATGATCTCCGCAATCCTTCCATTTATAGAATAGTCACTGATATTAGTAGACATTCTTTGTTCGCCACCCCTGTTTGCTCCGTCCCTTTCCTCTTCGCCTACATTTGCTCTTGTCTTCCCTTCAGTTACCACCTTTCTATGTTCATGTAGCATCTCACTTTTCCCTACCCCCCCTGGGAAGTTCCAGCTGTTCGAGTCTGTTCTTTCTCATTCCCTTGCTTGAAAGCCCAACTGCCTATGATAGCTTCTCGCTCTCTTTTTCTTGACCACTTCCACTCTCATTCTTATGCCATCGCAGTGTACACAGATAGCTCTAAGTCTTCTGATGGCATCGGATTCACAGCAGTGTTTCCAGACAGCGTCGTGCGAGGGCATTTACTATCTTTGGCTAGCATTTTTACTGCTGAATTGTATGCCATTATTGCATCTATGCCTGTGTCATCATTTGTGGTTGTCTCAGACTCCCTTAGTGCTCTACAGGCTATACGGAAATTTGATACACCTCATCCCCTAGTTCTCTGTATCCAACTTTGGCTATGCCATATCTCTACCAAGCATAAAGACATTCTTTTAAGCATAAAGACATTCTTTTTTGTTGGGTCCCTGGTCATGTTGACGTACAGGGCAATGAACAGGCAGACACTGCTGCACGGTCAGCAGTACATGACCTACCAGTTTCATATAGAGGTGTTCCATTTACAGACTATTTTGCTGTAATAGCCACCCACCTTCACACCCGTTGGCAACAACATTGGTCTAATCTACTCGGTAACAAACTTCATTCTATTAAACCAAGTATAGGTTACTGGCCGTCTTCTTGTCATCAGTGTTGAGGTTGGGAGACTACTCTCTCCCGTCTTCACATTAGCCACACTCGTCTTACTCATGGGTATCTCATGGAGAGGCACCCTGTTCCTCTCTGTGAGAAGTGTCAGGTTCCAGTATCAGTTAGCCACATTCGGTTAGACTGGCCTCTCTATCAACGAGCACGCAGAATTTACCTCCAACGACGTCTCCATTCTACTGTTCTCTCTTTACCTTCCCTTCTTGCTGATGGACCCTCCTTTAATTCTGACTCTCTCATTGACTTCTTGACAACAACTGATTTACTCCACAAACTCTGATGATGATACCTTCCGCACTCCCCTCAGCCCTTTCTACCTCAATCTCTTGCTACCCTCTACCCCTGCACTATCCACTGCCCCGCTGTTCTCCGTAACCTACTAATCATCCCTCTCCCTTTTGCCATCTGATACCCTTGCTTCCTTCCTGCCCTGCAGCGCTGTATAGCCGTTGTGGTTTAGCGCTTCTTTTTTATTATAATAAGAATAATAATAATAATAGCTCTTGTTGCTCTAATAACAACAACTGAAAAATGCCTGGTTTTCTTTATAATGTTGCGAAAGCCAAAAATCACCTTATTTAAGGTCTGTATTCTCCCTTCAAGGGCAAAATGCTTGTCCAGAAATTAGGTATCTTGTAGTTTAGAATCTGCTTATTCTAATGAATGTTTTTAAGAAAATTGGTTGTGCTGCTTTTTTGCCATTTCCCTCCAAAAAATGGCCTAAAATTCAGTGTAAGGTCTGTAAGGGCATTTTAACGTACCATTAGCACAGGAACTAAAAATGTTTGGAGTCAGATATTTTAGGAATGTGATGATGTCCACTTGGATAGCTGGCTACAATAATGTCATACTAAAATAATGTTGTCCTTTAGATATATAGGTAGCTGAATTCAAGTTTCACGCGACAGATTTATTTTGCCTACTTTGTCTTCATACTGTGAAAAAAGCAAAAGCATAGAAGTTTTAGGACTGCGAGTTTTGAAGTTAGCTCCAAAAGTTGTATAGGCATATCTACTTACACATCTTTTACTCTTCAAGATCTGCCATAGGAATAACCTGAACAATATTGATTGTTTGCTGCAGGTCAGTGAAGTTTTTGCCTGCCTCCACTCTCAGGGCCATAGCATTACCATGAACTAAAGTTTTCCCAATTGGTGATGGTCATGTGGCGACGATTTTCAAAATTGGTCCACTTGACATGGAATGACCCATTCTATAATATATTTATACATGTACAGTATACTTATTATAAGGCACAGATTTTGGTTCTGGAATATGCCTTCACTCAACAAAATTTCTAATTTCACTGTTAGGCAAAATCAATAGCATAGTACAGTACTTAACTCTAGTGATATTGGTGCTTGGGTAGTTTCCATCACTGTCTTGGCAAATTAACATTCTTTCCTGCATGATACAACCAATGGGATGGCATTAATAAATAAAAAGTATACATACGTATTTAAATTATGTTGGCACAACATTTGTTTTGGAAAAGACTTGTACTGTAGCTTGCAATTTTGTTGACGCTTTTGGAAAATGGCCATAGGCCAGTGCATGTTTTTGCTAAGCAGATTAAGTGTTTAATGAATAAGATACATGTGCAGCACACTTCTTCAATTAAAACAGGTTAATAAAACAAGGGAGACAGTATTGTTGGTATATCATCAATAATTAGACTAGGTGTTTACTTGTTTGAAGAGTGTATTGGATACTTGGTCTGCCATACCTGCCTCTTGTAAGTACATATTGCAGTGTTGTCTGTTAACTTAGTTCCTGACACCAATGGAAGATAAAAAAAATGACATCTTTCAAGAGTTTTTACCATAGTGGCCTTTTTAAAATTAGATGGTAGCCATCATTGAGGAATTGATAGAGAAGAACATCCTGCTTTAATATTTCATGCGGTAATAGGTCTTGGAATAAGAATACTACATTAGGGAACAAGAATAAGCACACTACAGCAAGGAACAAGATTAGCCATACTAATGTGAGGCACTCCTCTGGGTGGGAAGTCCAGTACCTGTACTCTGAAAGAGGGGTGGGGATGTCACTGTTCAGAGGGTCATTTGAATTGTGATGTTTGCACTTCTGGCAAGAAAGCTATTAACCCTTAAACTGTCCAAAAGTAGATCTACGTTTGCACGCGTAGCGCTCCAAACGTAGATCAACATTTTATTTTTCATTCCTTCAAATTTGGCACAATAGGCTTGAGTCGCCTAGACGTGAAAGAATGGGTCTGTGCACTCAGTGTGCGCACTATTAAAAAAATCTGGGAGCATTTAGTACCTTGTGGGAGCACCAGTTCAATTGAGCACCAACTAGAGCAAATAGCGTGGCAAATACCAGGGATTCACTGATGCCATGTTGCATTAACACTTCCATTTTAAGAGGAAAGTAAAAATAGGTTAGATAAATACTTGAGTGAGTGTGGGTGGGTGTGAGTTGGACCTTACTAGCTTGTGCTAGTTAAAGGATGTGACCTGACTAGGTGGGTCATTTGTCTAAGTCAGGTGGGGGGGGGAGTGTGACATGTACCTTGCCATGCATGGGCCAGTAGGCCTGCTGCGGTGTTCCCTCTTTCTTATGTTCTTACGCATTCGGCAGGCTGGCCGGCTGGCTTGCTTTGGCTGTCTCTGGCTGTCTCTGTCTATATCTCTATCTGTCTATATCTCTGTCTATGTCTCTGTCTATCTATATATCTGTCTATCCATATATCTGTCTCACATGTACACATAAGTACAGTTATTATGCTTAGTGTAAATTACCTAGGATAATCAAAAATTCCAGGCAAAGATAGACAGACAGATAGACAGAAACATGTTTGTGTGTATCAGTGAAAACAAAGCCAGGGCTCCCCCGAGCACCCATTTATCAAATGTCACCGAGCTGATAACAGATGTCATAACATGATTCTTCAAGGGGTTTGATATCCTATACTCTAGGCAGACAGAAAGACAGATAAGCAGAGACAGACAGATAGAGACAGATAGACAGACAGACAGATAGGTAGACAGACAGACAGGCAGATAGATAGACAGACAGATATATAAATAGACAGAGAGACAAGACGTGTGTGTGTAACAGTGATAACAAATACAGTGAGGGTTAGCTGGAGCAGTGTGCATTTATCAAATGTCACTAGGCTGTCAACAGTATAAGGATGCCTTTCATAACAATATTCTTCAAGGTATATGCCAGGATATCTAAAACATTGCTGAGACCTGTAAATGTTTTGTATATATTTCTAGACAATAGTAAATAACCCAGGCAGGTGTAAATGTTCACCTGTCAATGTGATTGTGACTATTTGAGCACAATTTCAGCACCTAATATTAGTGTCAGAACAAAGATTGGCTATGAAATTACAAGAAGTATTATAAATTGTAATTATCACAACATAAAAAAAATATAAATTAAAATAAAAACTGAGGAAAAAAGGTGTATTGGCAACCCTTCTGCAAGTGGCAGGAGTCGATGTTGCCAACAGTTGAGCATCCAGTGCCAACTTCACGGTCTTATATCTCGGTAAATACTGACCCTAAAAAATTTTGTTTAATTCTATAACATGTAGAAAAATGTGCTCTTCATTTTAAAAGAAAAAAAAAAAAGATTTTTTTATTTTTCAAAATATTCGGAGCGCCACGCGAGTGAACATAGATCTACATTTGGACAGTTTAAGGGTTAAAAGAATGATGATGAATGTTTCCTTTTTTTGAGTCACTGTTTCTTGTTAAGAAACAGCCAGTATAGTTAAAAAAAAATCTAAACTTATTCAATTTTGGATGATAGTATACTATTTTTTAACAGTTTATAATATTATAAGTTCTGTAATAAGCTAATTCTCTTTTAAAAATTAAAACTAAATTCAGACACTGTGTGTCATATACCAATTATATTTTAAAAGAATACTTCATTTATTTTAACTTTTAAGAACTCGTTCCAGACATTTCGGCCCAAAAAGAAGTTTGAGCCAGGAACTCTTAAGTACTCGCTGCACAAGCAGGCACAGGCATCCTTAAACTCTGGAATCAACCTTCGTAATGTGGTCAGCTTACCGGCAGGAGAGGATCTCAATGACTGGATTGCCGTACATGGTGAGTCATGATAATCCTCTACATTTAATTTGAACACTAAATATTTTCACTACAGTATCTAGTTTTTCTTTTTTTTTTTTTTTACTAACTGAACTTTCTTGATTTTATTCAGAGTTCAGTTGTTGAGGTTACATCTACAGTAACTCTCTCCTAAAATGATACTACGTGGTGCAGTTTTCTGTAAATGCAATTGAAAAAGTTCACCCAAAATTGTAATAAAGAGTGTGAAAAACCCTTGATAGTACACTCTTGAGTGTGAAAACACTCAGAGTGTACTATGGTGGCCCTATAAACCCCAACAACAACAATGGCCGCTGTCACCACCACTAGCCACATACGTGGCTAGAGTGCCAGCAGTAAAACGTAGATTAACCGTTTGGAAATTAAAGGGTTAACCATGGAACCCAAAGTAAATCTTTCAAATAGTCAACTAGGGGTATGTTTAGATAGTAGAGATAATCTTTAGTAATTTGTACCTAGTAAAATATTAACACTTTTTTTGGCAAATTTGGAGGTGCCTTGAACATAACTTATTTTTTTCCAGATGTTCTTCACTTTACACACAGCTAATTTCCATAAGACGCTGATTTTCAGGAACATATCTTACGCATTATTAGAGGGTTTACTGTATATATTACTGTATGCATTATTGCAGTTAGCCAATATATTATATATTATATATATATATATATATATATATATATATATATTATATATATATATATATATATATATATATACATATAAGTGAACAGTATTTAGATAAGGCTAAAGAGGTCTTTGTGGCATTTATGGATTTGGAAAAGGCGTATGACAGGGTGGATAGGGGGGCAATGTGGCAGATGTTGCAAGTGTATGGTGTAGGAGGTAGGTTACTGAAAGCAGTGAAGAGTTTTTACGAGGATAGTGAGGCTCAAGTTAGAGTATGTAGGAAAGAGGGAAATTTTTTCCCAGTAAAAGTAGGCCTTAGACAAGGATGTGTGATGTCACCGTGGTTGTTTATATATTTATAGATGGGGTTGTAAGAGAAGTAAATGCGAGGGTCTTGGCAAGAGGCGTGGAGTTAAAAGATAAAGAATCACACACAAAGTGGGAGTTGTCACAGCTGCTCTTTGCTGATGACACTGTGCTCTTGGGAGATTCTGAAGAGAAGTTGCAGAGATTGGTGGATGAATTTGGTAGGGTGTGCAAAAGAAGAAAATTAAAGGTGAATACAGGAAAGAGTAAGGTTATGAGGATAACAAAAAGATTAGGTGATGAAAGATTGAATATCAGATTGGAGGGAGAGAGTATGGAGGAGGTGAACGTATTCAGATATTTGGGAGTGGACGTGTCAGCGGATGGGTCTATGAAAGATGAGGTGAATCATAGAATTGATGAGGGAAAAAGAGTGAGTGGTGCACTTAGGAGTCTGTGGAGACAAAGAACTTTGTCCTTGGAGGCAAAGAGGGGAATGTATGAGAGTATAGTTTTACCAACGCTCTTATATGGGTGTGAAGCGTGGGTGATGAATGTTGCAGCGAGGAGAAGGCTGGAGGCAGTGGAGATGTCATGTCTGAGGGCAATGTGTGGTGTGAATATAATGCAGAGAATTCGTAGTTTGGAAGTTAGGAGGAGGTGCGGGATTACCAAAACTGTTGTCCAGAGGGCTGAGGAAGGGTTGTTGAGGTGGTTCGGACATGTAGAGAGAATGGAGCGAAACAGAATGACTTCAAGAGTGTATCAGTCTGTAGTGGAAGGAAGGCGGGGTAGGGGTCGGCCTAGGAAGGGTTGGAGGGAGGGGGTAAAGGAGGTTTTGTGTGCGAGGGGCTTGGACTTCCAGCAGGCATGCGTGAGCGTGTTTGATAGGAGTGAATGGAGACAAATGGTTTTTAATACTTGACGTGCTGTTGGAGTGTGAGCAAAGTAACAAATATGAAGGGATTCAGGGAAACCGGCAGGCCGGACTTGAGTCCTGGAGATGGGAAGTACAGTGCCTGCACTCTGAAGGAGGGGTGTTAATGTTGCAGTTTAAAAACTGTAGTGTAAAGCACCCTTCTGGCAAGACAGTGATGGAGTGAATGATGGTGAAAGTTTTTCTTTTTCGGGCCACCCTGCCTTGGTGGGAATCGGCCGGTGTGATAATAAAAAAAAAAAAAAAATATATATATATATATATATATATATACATGTATATATCAATATTATTTGACATTTTATTTCAGTGGTAGATTTCTTCAACCGAATCAACTTAATTTATGGAACAGTTTGTGAGTACTGCACAGAAAGCTCTTGCCCCACTATGTCTGGGGGACAGAAGTTTGAATACTTGTGGGCAGATGGTGCCAAATACAAGAAGCCAACTGCGCTACCTGCAACACAGTACATCTCGCTTCTCATGGACTGGATTGAGACACAGATCAATGATGAACATGTGTTTCCTGTCACTGTTGGTAAGAATATATTGTGCTTAAGATTTAATTAAATTAGCATTCTCTTTGGTACAACATATATGTGATTATTTTTTGAGTCATTATAGTAAATGCTAGCCTTGTTTACACAAAAGATTTCCCTCATTTTATGCATCTTTGTTTTGTGTAAATTCACTTTTTTTTAATAATAAATAAAATGTCTACATTTTATTTATATGAGAGGAGAAACTTTGTTATTAGGCATAAGGGAAAGACAACTTTTCTCTGTACTTGACTGAAGAAGCCTACTGTGTAGGCGAAACGTTTCGAAATAAAGATACCTAACTGTTGCATATGTGTCTTACCTAACAACCTGTTGGGATTTTATACCATTTTAGTATTCACTCTGTCAGACACTGCAACACAATGGTACCTTGGAACAGAACAGAAAACAACTTGGACAACTTCTACTAGTGAGAATGGCTGGATTTGAGAGGGACGTGACCTCCCAACAGCTACATTCTTACCACTACCTGTGGCCTACATCTCACCTCCTGGTGGTATATAAGGCTCCATCCTGTCACTTCAACTCCATATTGTTTTGGACTATGGAACAATACTCTTCTCCAGACTGAGGGACTGACCACTTCAAAACTTCAAGGGTGATGGACTGATTACATCGTCTTCACGTCTACTATCAACTTTTCTGTACTCGACTGAAGAAGCCTACTGTGTAGGTGAAACGTTTCGAAATAAAGATACCTAACTGTTGCATATGTGTCTTACCTAACAACATAAAGGAAAGACAGGAACATTTGTCATATTTTGATCATAGTCATCAGCGCTAGTTCCAGTGCTGAAAGGCAGTGCAAACGGCCTAACGTGAACTCTGCCTGATCTCGTACATATATGATAAGGCATGTGCCGCTATCTTAGAATCAATATTTTTTTTTACTTACACAATTGATTTACAGGGTTAGGTTATGAGTACCTACCTTTAATTACAGGCTCAGAGCTGTTATGTACCTCAGTTCATTTGAAAGCCTTTATATTGTTGTGAGGCATACAAATAGGGAATAGGATGAAGTTGAAGCCATCTGTAGGCCAGCAATTTCATTTAGTCGGTTGACTTTATTTCATTGATGCCATTATGTTGTGCACACATGTTCCAGACTCGGGTCATCCTAGGAATGAATGATCTCAGATGAAGTGATGCTCTTGAGAAGGGTACAACCAGAGTGTAGTTGCTGTTTGCTGCCTTCCTTATTGTGCAAAAGCTCTCTTCTCACTGATCATGAACAGGAGCCAGGAACATTGACCCTGCACATAGCAGTTAGGCCACCCACATCTGTCTGTTGTCAAAAGCTCTACTGAAATGACAGAGCTGTCCAGGCTAGGTTCAGATGAGAGACGAGTCATCTTGCTCTGTTCTCTAGTCTGTCAAGAAGCCGTAGGTGAAATGAGAGACAGGCAATCCAAGGAAGTGCAGCATACTTAAAGGTGTGAGCGCACTTGTGCCTCATACAGTGTCTTGCAGCCTCTACTGTTGAGCAGATGCAAGATACATCTGAGTGCTGTAAGCTTCCTAACCACTTTGTGAGATTTACTATGTGGTTTTCACAGTCAGTTTGGGATCAAATTTCACCCCAAAGATATCAGCCTCATCTCCAGGTTTCAACACTTTATTTCTTTCAACACACCGGCCGTATCCCACCAAGGCAGGGTGGCCCAAAAGGAAAAACGAAAGTTTCTCCTTTTACATTTAGTAATATATACAGGAAAAGGGGTTACTAGCCCCTTGCTCCTGGCATTTTAGTCGCCTTTTACAACACGCATGGCTTACAGAGGAAGAATTCTGTTCCACTTCCCCATGGATGTAAGAGGAGATAAACAAGAACAAGAACTAGTAAGAAAATAGAAGAAAACCCAGAGGGGTGTGTATATATATGCTTGTACATGTATGTGTAGTATGACCTAAGTGTAAGTAGAAGTAGCAAGACGTACCTGAAACCTTGCATGTTTACGAGACAGAAAAATGGACACCAGCAATCCTACCATCATGTAAAACAATTACAGGCTTTTGTTTTACACTTGCTTGGCAGGATGGTAGTACCTCCCTGGGCGGTTGCTGTCTACCAACCTACTACCTAGGAGGTTTCAACACATTCCCATTAATTCTTATCACTGCTCCAGCATTATCATCATGTTACTTAGAGACCATCATTTGTGTTTTATCAGAAGCAAATGTAACCTACCATTGTTTTTCCCAGGCTGATATAGCTGTAAGCTAGTGGTTGATGTAATTGAGTGCAGCTGGCATTTCCTTCCTTGGATAAGTAAATGTCAGAATGCAGTCATCTGAATGTGCTTGAGATTCTGGGATGAGTTGAAGGTGGTCATTAAAGTAAGCATTCCTAAGTACACTTTTCTGTGGGACACTGGCACCAAATGTATGTCTTGTTGACTCTTTCCCATTGAGAATTACTTAGAGATCTGCTCTGTCGAGAGACTGCTCTGTCTAGTGCTGCTGCACAGCTGATCTTGGATTCATCCAGTGACTGATGGCACATAATGGAGAGACATAACAGCAGAGTGACCATTTACTCCATTCATGCTCACCCTTTCCCTGCATCACTGAATGACATTTTGATTTGGCATTTTCAGTGAATGTGATGGTTATAAAAATTTTTTTTTTATTTATTATCACACTGGCCGATTCCCACCAAGGCAGGGTGGCCCGAAAAAGAAAAACTTTCACCATCATTCACTCCATCACTGTCTTGCCAGAAGGGTGCTTTACACTACAGTTTTTAAACTGCAACATTAACACCCCTCCTTCAGAGTGCAGGCACTGTACTTCCCATCTCCAGGACTCAAGTCCGGCCTGCCGGTTTCCCTGAATCCCTTCATAAATGTTACTTTGCTCACACTCCAACAGCACGTCAAGTATTAAAAACCATTTGTCTCCATTCACTCCTATCAAACACGCTCGTGCATGCCTCCTGGAAGTCCAAGCCCCTCGCACACAAAACCTCCTTTACCCCCTCCCTCCAACCTTTCCTAGGCCGACCCCTACCCCGCCTTCCTTCCACTACAGACTGATACACTCTTGAAGTCATTCTGTTTCGCTCCATTCTCTCTACATGTCCAAACCACCTCAACAACCCTTCCTCAGCCCTCTGGACAACAGTTTTGGTAATCCCGCACCTCCTCCTAACTTCCAAACTACGAATTCTCTGCATTATATTCACACCACACATTGCCCTCAGACATGACATCTCCACTGCCTCCAGCCTTCTCCTCGCTGCAACATTCATCACCCACGCTTCACACCCATATAAGAGCGTTGGTAAAACTATACTCTCATACATTCCCCTCTTTGCCTCCAAGGACAAAGTTCTTTGTCTCCACAGACTCCTAAGTGCACCACTCACTCTTTTTCCCTCATCAATTCTATGATTCACCTCATCTTTCATAGACCCATCCGCTGACACGTCCACTCCCAAATATCTGAATACGTTCACCTCCTCCATACTCTCTCCCTCCAATCTGATATTCAATCTTTCATCACCTAATCTTTTTGTTATCCTCATAACCTTACTCTTTCCTGTATTCACCTTTAATTTTCTTCTTTTGCACACCCTACCAAATTCATCCACCAATCTCTGCAACTTCTCTTCAGAATCTCCCAAGAGCACAGTGTCATCAGCAAAGAGCAGCTGTGACAACTCCCACTTTGTGTGTGATTCTTTATCTTTTAACTCCACGCCTCTTGCCAAGACCCTCGCATTTACTTCTCTTACAACCCATCTATAAATATATTAAACAACCACGGTGACATCACACATCCTTGTCTAAGGCCTACTTTTACTGGGAAAAAATTTCCCTCTTTCCTACATACTCTAACTTGAGCCTCACTATCCTCGTAAAAACTCTTCACTGCTTTCAGTAACCTACCTCCTACACCATACACTTGCAACATCTGCCACATTGCCCCCCTATCCACCCTGTCATACGCCTTTTCCAAATCCATAAATGCCACAAAGACCTCTTTAGCCTTATCTAAATACTGTTCACTTATATGTTTCACTGTAAACACCTGGTCCACACACCCCCTACCTTTCCTAAAGCCTCCTTGTTCATCTGCTATCCTATTTTCCGTCTTACTCTTAATTCTTTCAATTATAACTCTACCATACACTTTACCAGGTACACTCAACAGACTTATCCCCCTATAATTTTTGCACTCTCTTTTATCCCCTTTGCCTTTATACAAAGGAACTATGCATGCTCTCTGCCAATCCCTAGGTACCTTACCCTCTTCCATACATTTATTAAATGCACCAACCACTCCAAAACTATATCCCCACCTGCTTTTAACATTTCTATCTTTATCCCATCAATCCCGGCCTGATAATATTACATGTTATTTATCTCTATATTGCTTTCATGTTAAATATCATTTTCCTATTATTTAGTCATTTTTATTTCTATTCTATCTTTCTACCTTTTCCTATATTTTTTACTGTCTGACTTCTTTGTGCTTACTGAGACGATTCTCATTCTTTCTGCATATTATTTGTTTCTCATTGCAATTAAATGGTAACTGTTTCTCTTATGTAATTGCCAAAGATTTAGTAAATGTTTTGGATATTCTTTGAAAAATCTTCACTGCTTGAAGGGTTTCTCAATGTTGGGTCACCTTACAGTGGTGGCAAAGTTTGAGCAGCCTAAGTGCCTGACTAGAACTCAGCAACCCATTTTTTGGCCTAGCTAGGAAGATTTCCTTGTGCTAAAATTTGTTTTTAACTTATAGTCTATGCATTGAAACAAATTATGCTGTGGTTTAGATTGCAACTAATGGACTTAGAATTTTTTTATTATATTGTGAATAAAGAATTATAGTAAATTAGTCATTGCTAGAAATTGACATTAACAAAATGTTCATAACAGAAATTTGGTAATGATGACAGGGGATTATTAATATCAGCAGCTTTTTGTAGCCAGGCAACTTGAAGGCATCTGCAATGGTTGGAGAAGATATTATGTGCAACCACCCTCTAAAGCAAGTGAAAGTTCCTACAAGGAACAAGACAGTACATATACAGTGGCACCCTGGTTTTCATCCTTAACCCTTTGACTGTCGCAGGCCCATTTCTGAAACTGTCATTCTATGTCGCAAAACATTTGAAAAAAAAAAAAAAATTTCTTACCAAAATGTTAGGATTATTTTACTGAGTGTTTTAAGCCAAAAAAATTTATTTGCCATCAGTACTTACTGAGATATAGAGGCGCAAAGTTGGTAGAAAATGAGCCACGTATGGCAACAGCGGCGAATGCCGCTCACCCAGTATTCTTTTATTTACTCCAATTCGAAGGTTTCTTGTATTTTCCAATATTTTTCTTCTCTGAGTAACTTATGTGGCCTGTGAGACCAAAGTAAGGTCCATTGTTCAAATATACACTCATTGTTTACAACACAATAACTGCACAAACATTATCACTATTAGATTGTTTATAAAACTTGTTTACACAAACAAACAATACAAAACATTGTTTATTACTATTGTTCTATAATATATATACATATGTACAGTCACTGAACACTTTCTTAGAACTGCTGCAGCTTGTGGAACTCTTTGAAACATGGGTATATGCAGAGTGGTACTTGACACTCCTCACACATAAAACGAGTGTCTCTGCATTTTGTGGGCATTTTGTGGTATGTCCACATACAAAACACCTCTTCTGAGCACTTTTCTTGAAAGCAGTGGGAGGCATTTGTATGGGGTAGTGATCACCAGACCTCAAACAAGATAGCATGTGTTAGTAATTTCGTGGGCACTGGTCTATTGCAGGTGTTGCTCCTTGTACTTGAATATTATTTGTCTGATGACTGACAAACAAAATTCACCATATTTTGGTTCGTTGTTGGTCTTCAACTTGTATATGTTATAAGCATTCAGCATGGAAATATCAAGAAGATGGAAAAAAAGTTTTATGTACCACTTATAACTCTTGAGTACACAATCAGCAGACCCAATCTGCACGTCACATTTGTCCACTAAGCTCATATTGAGGTTGTAGTCCATGACAGCTACAGGTTTTAGAATGGGTTTATTGGTTTCTCTATTCTGCCTGCCACTGTCTGCCATTTCATTTCAGTGAACTGATGTCAACAATGTGACATCACATTTGTCATGCCACTGAAATGCCATGATGTCATTGGCAGCAAAGGCCTGCACCTCACCTCTGCGAGTGCCAGCATCGAACCTTGCATAAGCTTACAATTACCACACACTGTGCCACACGTCTGCCATGTTCACTCACAAGAAATCACTGAGTATGGGGCTTGTGTACCAGTTATCAGTATATAATATATGCCCCTTACCAAGATATGGTTCCATCATTGTTCTAACCACATCACCAGAGATACCCAATAACTTCCTGGTATCTGTCAATGTAGTACTGCCAGTGTACACAATTATATCCAAAACCAGACCACTTTTGCAATCACACAGTACAAATAACTTTATACCAAAGCGTTTCCTCTTGCTTGGTATGTACTGCTTGAATGAGAGTCTTCCTTTGAACAAAATCAAAGACTCATCAGTAGCAAGCTTCCTGAAGGGATTAAAATTTATACAGCACTTTTGTTTCAGGTACATAAACACATTTCTGATCTTATATAACCTGTCACTTCTGTCAGGCTTTGTTTTATCTGAAAAGTGTAACATACGTAACAGTATCAAAAAACGATTCACCCCTATAATATCACTAAAACCTGGGGTTGAAATCAAGCATTCTGTCAACCAGTATGTGGTGACAGTGTGTTTATACACGTGGCATAAGCATTATTGTGGCAAAGAACAGGTACATCTCTGCCACAGTTGTGTCCTACTGGTGTAACCGTGACCTTGGTGAAAGAATTGTATTTACCATGGTGTACTCATAGTATGTGTTGCTTTCCCTGACAATAATTTCCATCAGGGGTTCATTGAAGAATAACTGAAAGCATTCCAATTCAGTGGCATTGTTCCCAAGTGTACACAATGGCTATATTCCATTTTGTGTTTCATCAGTGTCATGGGGATTGGGAACAAAATTGTCACCTTGCTGCCAATCCCAGATGCGGTCTGCTGGTGGGTTCTGGATATTGAAAAGTGGTTGTGGATGTTGTGGGAGTGTAGGGTTGGGTGGGGCTGGTTGTGCTTGTTCAGAGTCAGCAGCGTCGGTAGTAGCGTGGCCCGCTGCTGGTGCCACATGACTCATGCCACCGCCAACATTACCACCACCATCACCTTCTTCCCCACGCACATTACACATCCCCATTGTAACAATATCGTCATCTTCACTGTCAGGTCATGGTGTAGGGCCACGGGATGTACTCCCAGATTTACTCCTTTGCCTTGGAAGGGCATAAGGTACACTACCAGAACACATGCTGCGTCGTACATACTGCCGTTTCACTGGCGAATATTCCCCCCTCACTGTCGCAACTCGAGCTGCTTTCAATAACTTTGAAATCACTATCATTATTACTTTCACTGCTCAGATCTGAGTCCTGTAAACGGGGAAATAGTTTCCTTTTTCGTCCTGGTACAGGTGAACGTGAATGAGATGTGCCAGCACCAGAGGTGGATGGTTGTGGGTCATCTGGGTTTTCATCACTAATTACGTTATCCTGGGCACTGCTTTTGGTCACACCCTCTCTAAAACCATGAAATTCACTTTCACTGGCACTTCCATCAGGCATGGTGAAAATGGACTACCAAGATGGCATTCCCACAATGCACCACTGAGTCCCAGATTTTTTTCACAGGGTGCACACCCACCACGCAGACCCATTCTCTCTCATGTAGGCCCACCAGCTTTCTCCTGCTTGATTTGAAACCACTAGAATTTACACGTATTAATATGTCGGAAACATTGGCTCGTAAGATGTATTTATATGACCGAAACAGTCAAAGGGTTTATCCGTTCCAGAAGGTCGGTCGAAATCCGAAATGGACGAAAACTGAAATAATATTTCCCATAAGAAATAATGTAAATCCAGTTAATCTGTTCCAGACACCCAAAAATACTAACAAAAAATACATTTTATGGAGAGTAACTATAATTTTACATGTAGAAAACAATGAGAAATAAATATAAAGCACTAATTTTAATGGATAAATGAACATTTAAATCATTATTACATACCTTTATTGAAGACTCTTGTTTGTGATCTCTGTTTCATTAGCATATTTACTCCTTTAGCAACATCAGCTTCCTTGATTTTTACTTTCTTTGCCAGGATGGAACCGATTGTTGATTTGGACTTCCCACACATCCTGGCCACACATACGCCACTTCCGTATTTTGATACAAGCTCTTTCTTGAATTCCATTGTGTTTCTCGCCTTCTTTACCAAAGGGCTGGCACTCTGTACTTTCTTTGGCCCCATGGTGGCTTATTTCACAGTCGCATTCAATAAACAAGCACAAAAAACAATGGATGAATGCACAGAGTATTGTTCACTCGATAAGTAATGGAGGCAGACTGAGTCAGGCAGTGGCGTCCCAGGCAGGCAGATGCGTCTGATACAGATGATTTCCGAGTCGATGTATGAAACCCGGAGTAAAAATTTGCTGACAAAAGTGGTCGAAATCTGAATTGTATGATATTCGGACAAGACGAAAACCAGAGTTTTACTGTACTATAGATAGATTATTTTACATCTCATGGTACAATTCATTATTCACTGCCTTCATGAAAGCAATTTGTTAGGTAAGGCCTTTGACTCCAATATATACTCTCTTCTCTTAAAAAAATTTGTTTCACATAATCCTCAGTCAGCCATTTAACATGTAAATAACACCTTATTTCAAACTTCATACAGGTGTTATATAAAATCATGTAATTTCATTTCAGATGTTCCATTTCCTAAGTCATTTATTCCACTTTGCAAAAAAATCCTCACCCGGCTCTTCAGAGTGTTTGTCCATGTGTACATCCATCACTTTGACCGCATTGTGGCCATTGGAGCAGTAAGTATGTTTACATTTTGCAGTTTTATACCTGTTATGTAATTTCACCAAATGTAGGTGAGCATAAAAGTTAATATTAGACATTAATAAAAGTCTTTAAAATTAGTTGCTTTTCATACTGTAATTATTATTAGTATTTGGTTTTAATCTTAAAACTAAAATCATGGCTATTAATTAGTAACTTTTCTTACAGGAAGCACATGTAAATACCTGCTACAAGCATTTTTATTACTTTATAATGGAGTTTGATCTAGTGCCACAAAAAGAACTGGAACCTCTAAAGGATATGACTACCAAGATTTGCTATGACAACCCAGAGACTCCCATAAATTTTGATTATAAGAAGTAGTGAGCCTTTGTGAGAGAATCTTGCCAAAATTTTCAGCTAGAGATTGTAGAATTTTGAATATTTCTCTCAGAAGAGGTCAGTTGGAATCTGAATGTATGAATCACTGTTATAACTATGGAACTGAATCTGAAATTCTGTTAGCATTATGCACTAGTAGTACTTTCTGTAAGTCCCAGCTAGAATTATTGGCATGTTTAATTTTATTTTTGAGTACGAAGTTAAATTTTATTTAAACATTGTTTAAAAAATATGTCCTTATTGATGAGTAAAAAGTTAATCTAGTAAAGAGTATTTCCCCCTAAGCAAGTCATGTAAAGTATTACTAACTTTTTATATACTGTAAAACTAATTTTATATAGAGTATATAGGAAATTACAACCACTAACCTGATTTTATTGTAAGATGTTCTAGGTCAGTTGTCATATTCCTCATACTGTATCAGTGAAAATGAGTCATATCACTAAAGTAAGGTTCAAGATGTGTCCATCATAGCACACAAGAACACACAGACACAGGGCAAAGGTGTCAGCAAATAGATAATAGTAAATTAGCTGTCATACAGTTGAATTTTTAGTACAAAACAGGGCTCATCATTTGACAATATTAAACATGACCCATGTGGTTGAGAACTGAATGATATTATATAATTGCAATAGGAAACATTTTCTAAATCAGTGAAAATTTGAATGAGAGAGAAAAAGGCCACTTCATGATTTTTTGTTTTTTGTTATAGAGAGATTTTTCTCGAGGGTACCTCATCATCAAAGATGAGACTTGAAAAGAAACCAGTTACATAAAATATATACGAATAAAACCTTGACTACACATGGTAAAATTTAAGAGTATTCTTGTATGTGGTATAAGGCAACAGATTTTTACAGTATTTTCTATTTTTGTATCTGGTTGTCATTGATTTCATCATAAAAGGAAAGAAAAATTATGAAAATTTGGTTAAAAGGCATTTTACTAAAAGATTACGAGAAGCTAGCCATATTTATATACAGTGGACCCTCGACATTCGATACTAATCCGTTTCTGAGAGCTATTGAATATCGAAAATATCGAAAGTCGAATTAATTTTCCCCATAAGAAATAATGGAAATCAAATTAATCCGTGCAAGACACCCAAAAGTATGAAAATTTTTTTTTTACCACATGAAACATTAAGTTTAATGCAATAGAATAATTACAATAACAACAAAAACAATAGACTAATAACAATAGAATAATTGACACTTACCTTTAATGAAGATCTGGTGATGATTGATGGGATGGGAGGAGGGGAGAGTGTCAAAGTTGTTACTGTTTAGAAGGGGAATCCTCTTCCATTAGGACTTGATGTAGCAAGTCCTTTTCTGGGGTTACTTCCCTTCTTCTTTTAATGCCACTAGGACCAGCTTGAGAATCACTGGACCTCTGTTGCCGTTCCTTTAAGATTTGTCTAAAATGGGCCATAACATTGTCATTGTAATCACCAGCACGGCTTGCAATAGCTGTGTTAGGGTGATTTTCAAAATCTTTCTTAATTTCCATACTAATTCTCACTCTTTTTACCACAGGGTTGGCACTAGAAGCTTTCTTGGGGCCCATGGTGACTTATTTTGCAGAAACAAGCACCAAAAACAGTGATAATATGGATAATATGGAATGTACCAAATGTTTCCTTAGATGCGTGCTCACTGGCTAGCTTGTAAACACTGGCACACACGGGGCAGTTCAGGCCACACGTGGACACGTCTCGTACGAATCGTATCGAATGCCGGGTTTTCCATCGAATGTTGAAGCGAAATTTTTGCTTTAAAATGCATCGAATGTCGATGCCATCGAATGTCGGGGGTCCACTGTATATTGTAGATATACATTTATATATAAAGCATGTGTTTGGCAAGCACCACCCTTTTTTTATACAGTATGTATTTTATATTTTATTTATATTTCTTTTAAATTTGAGTTTATATAGAGAAATATGATACCTTAGATCAGATTTTATATATTTACGTACATATACATACATACATACATACATACATACATACATACATACATACATACATACATACATACATACATACATATACACATGCATACTGTTAATATGAAAAGGGGACAGATTAGAAATTTTCAGTGCAAGTACAGTAATGTGTAAATACAAGTTTTACATTCGTGAAGTTTTAATAATGTTCAAAGTATGGTATGCCCCATATACCAGAAACACTATTGACTACGTAGCTATGAAGAAAAGTTGTAAATTTAAGTAAGAAAATGCTTTTTTTTTTTTTTTTTTTTTTCTCTCATTTTTTTTTTCTATTTTATTTTTGAGGAGGCCACCTGGATATTTCTCCCTGCTACCTCAGTATAGTTACAAGCCTGTCCTTAATTGAGTAGGGCCTACACACAGTAAAGAAGCTTTGAATTTTAAATAAAATATTGAATCGTGATTCTTATCTACAATTCAATGCAGTGTACTGCCCTGTGATTAACATCTTTGACCTGTCGTATCAGATTCCGTTATTGATGCTAGGCGACATGGTGGAATAGTTTGCAACCCACCTGGAGGCCAGGCTTCCTTGTGACCAGGAAGTCCACATAGCCATTGCTGCCTGGCTGATCTGGCACTTGGACGAGGTAGTGGTCTTTTTTTTTTTTTTTTTTTTTTTTTTTTTTAAGCATAAAGTTTGCTTTGAAGTGTTGGCCAAGACCTGACATTGTTATTATCAGTCATAAGCCTAAAGCTTAGCTTCTGTTGTTGTTAATGTATTATTTTATTATTATTATTATTATTATTATTATTATTATTATTATTATTATTATCATCATCATCATCATCATAACTACCTGTTTCCACAAAAATATCCTACCTCATGTTTGTGGAGCAGCACAGCATTAATATTTATCATGAATTTTTACTTAAATGATTTTACAGTGACTTAGACATTCAGCAAATATATTGTCTAGAATACTATAGGAAACATGGCTCAGTAATTAAAAGAATGCTGCTGCCTCAAATGCTATGGAGAATTTATTTTATCTCAAGAGTTACCTCCTAATTGTGTATAAAAATATATTTGAAAAGTTATCCTCCTAATAATTAAGTGTCAGTTGATAGTAAAGAATTTGTTAACTGAGGGGTAGCAATCTCAACATATAAGAAAATGAAGGGTTTAGATATGTAGCAAACTCCCATTTGATATGAAATGTATTACTGCTGTGGAGGGTAAACATGTATTCCTTGGGTAAAATATTGTTTCGGTTGAATACCAGATTATTGTAATTTATATTCTTAGGAATGTACATTATCCATCACTGTCTTGATGCTTTACTAATACTGGATGATAACTAGCTATGTTGCCTCTTTTTTTTTTTTCATTTTATATAATTTTATTGGACCTCAGGAATAATGGGTTTTAAATGCTACCACAGCACATTTTTACATGATGGGATGTACTGTATATACAGTAGTTAGTACAATAGATATTCACTCGGCATAGATATTGTATGTAGGTTTCCAAGATGCTTTAAATCTTATGAGTGACTAAAGAATGTACAGTAGTTCCCCCGTATCCATGGGGATATGTTCCAAGACCTGCCATGGATACTGAAACTGCGTATAGTAGCGAACTCTATATACAAGTCGTTTTTCATTTACATACATGTATGAGTGAGGTGAAAGTGTTAAATGATGATGAAAGTATTTTCTTTTTTGGGGATTTTCTTTTGGGTCACCCTGCCTCAGTGGGAGACGGCCGACTTGTTAAAAAAAAAAAAATACCGACAATAAAGTTTAACTGATACATAAAGCACAGTAAGACATTCTTCTTCTTTCAACAAACTGGCTGTATCTCACCAAGGCAGGGTGGCCTAAAAAGAAAAAAACAAAAGTTTCTCTTTTTAACTTCTAGTAATGTATGCAGGAGAAAGGGTTACTAGCCCCTTGCTCCCGGCATGTTAGTTGCCTCTTATCACATGCATGGCTTACGAAGGAAAATTTTGTTCCACTTCCCCCTCTTCAAGGGGGGCTCCTTGGCGTGGTGAAGAGGCTCTTGGTCTGAGGAATTAGACCTGTTGGTCTCCTTCCTCAGACCGAACCTAATTACCCCCAATCCCCCCCTTCCCTCTCCCATCCTCCCCATCCTCCCCTTTTTCCTTTCCTTCTCCTCCTCCCCACCCCTCCCTTTTGCCCTTCCTTTTTGGCCTTTGGGATTTTTTCCCACAGGCACACTAGTTCCTAGGTAGGGGAAAGGGTACCGGGGTCCATTCCATTCTGTTGAGGTTCTTGGCGGTGGCGTAGTTTGCCGTGGAATCTGGATTGCCTTGGGATGTCCCAATCCCTCTCCGGTATCCCGGAGGGTGGCTTTGGGTGTCTTTCGGGCGACGGGTGTATCTCTGGAAGCCACCTTTCGGATTCCGGGGGTGGTGGCCGAAGGAGGTATGCTTTGTGGCGGATATCCGGACGCCCTCTCTTTTGTCCACCGAGGTAGCTCAGCAGATGTGAGGTTGCTATCCCGGATTGCTGGTTTACTGGCATGATGGGTAGGGTATGGCACGGGTTCCATGCTGCACCTGCGCTACTTGCGGTGCTGAGGTCCTCTTGGGCGCGGAGGGAGATTTCTGGCCCTTTCGTTCCATCTAGGAACTATCCCTCCCCGGTTCCCCCCCTTTTTTTTTCTTTTTATTTTTCTTTTCTTTTCTTTTCTTTTTTTTTCTTAAAAACAAAAAGAAAGAAGTAACCTAACCATGGAAGCCCTAGTCCATGAACCTGCTACCCCCGGGTCGCTTCTTGATACCGCACCCCGTTCTGACCCCGCCTCGTCTTTGGACCACTCTTCGGACACTCCTAATGCCTCTGTACCTCTTGCTGGTGCTGTTTCCTCAGCCGCTTCAGGTACTGAGGTCTCGACTGACTCCTTCGATTTATCTGACCTCTGCTCTCCTTTGACTATGATTCCGGCCTCTCCCTCTACGGTGCGGCAATTTTCGAATTGCCGGCCCATTCCATGTCGGACCAACTCTGGTCCCACGCCTAAATGCCAACGACAATTACCTGCTGATGATACTTCTCCACCTTCTCGTTCTTCTCAGAAAAGATCGAAGCGTCTGCAATCAAGATAACCAGATGTTGCACAAGTGTCTTAACTTGCAACTAATCTTCCCAGTGAAGAGACTGGACAAATATATGAGTGGGAGGGGCTAGGTTTGAATGGTGTCATTGGGGACGGGAGTTATTTCTTGGGTAACTTTGGGTAAAGGTCGTTTTGATAAGGACCTGCCTCGCATGGGCCAGTAGGCCTTCTGCACTGTTCCTCCATTCTTATGTTCTTATGTTCTTACGTCCTGCACTCCCTTTCCACGCTCAGTTTCAGACTGCACAATGGACTAAATTCTTCACTTTACGACCGACTTCCTCTAATGCCAATCTTTCCGACCATAGTATTAGCAAGGCACTCCTACGCCATGTTGGTAAAGATATTTCTTTTCATGCTCTTAAGAGCGGTACATGCATCATCACGGTACAGAATGCTACCCAAGCTCATGATCTTTCTCTTCTTTCCCGTATCAATACTGGTCCTGTCACTATTGAAAAACATCATTCCCTCAATTCTTGTAGTGGTACCGTCATTCTGCCCCATACCATAGTTCAACAAAATTTCCAGACATGTGGCAATGACATTCTTGAACCGCTGGAACTCCAAGATCTCCCAATCCTCAAGGTAGACACTTATGTTCTTCCTGCTCGCGGGAGGAGACGATACCCTAGCAATGTGGCTCGTTTAACTTTTGACAGCCATGCACTCCCATCCTCAGTTTATGTAGCAAGACATCAGTTACAAGTTCGAAAGGTGATCCCTACACCGCAGCAGTGTAGAAATTGCTGGCGATTTGGCCATCCAGCGAAATATTGCAGATCTATAGCCGAATGCCCAGTCTGTGGTGCCAATGACCATTCTAATATGTCTTGCAATCGACCTCCCTCTTGCCTTAATTGTCATGAGGCTCACCCTTCGTACTCTCGCCATTGCCAAGTCTACTTAAATGAGCGGGAAATCCGTTACCTCAAAGAGGCAGAAGGTCTCCCTTATGCCATGGCAGTTTCTCATCTCCGCCTCCAAGGGAGACTACCTCGTGTTTCTTATTCCCGTGTTTCAAAACGTCCCCACACTTCTGGAGTCCCATCTTCTGCAGCCTCCTCTGTGGTTACCTCTTCCATAGTCACTCCTGTATATGATTCTTTTGCTGTCCTGGGCTCAGATGTCCCTACTTCAATGCCTCAGTCTGTTCTCGCTTCTTCGTGTTCTCCCTCACAAGCCTCGGTATCGACGAGATCTCGTACGACACCTCCTCCCAATCGTCCCTCTACTTCTCAGAAGTCAAAAAAAGTTCCTTTAACCCCTCCTTCCCTTCTTCCACCTCCTCATTTTACCTTCCCTGTCTCTGTACCTGGTTCTTCCCCTCTCACTGGCTCTGTTACAAGTGTAGAGGTTCACCCTCCTCCTCGTACTGTACCTTCCTCCCCTGTTTCTTCCTCTTCTGCCACCTCCCAGGTTTCTGCCTCTTCTGTCCCCTTCCATGCTTCTTCTCCAGTTCCCTCCACCCTTTGAAGCAATCTCTGAATATATTGCAGAGACCAAACCATCAATGGACACTGATCCACCCTCTGTTCCGTCTCTCTCCTCTCCTCCATCTGCGCAACTCCTTTCTTCGCAGCGCACTGTTCCTTCGCTACTTGAACATTTTCCGCTGTCTCTGCATGTGGACTTTTCTAACCCCTCTAGTCCGTAGGAACCCTTACCTGCGGATTTCAGGTGTCTTTATCATTGCAAATCATGGCCTATTTACAGTGGAATATACGCGGCCTCAGGGGTAATCGGGGTGAGCTTCAGATGTTACTCTTTCAGTTTTACCCTGTTGGTGTTTGCTTACAGGAAACAAAATTACACTCTGCTGTTATCTATCCCATCTCAGGCTTTAACTTATTGTATTCTTCAGATCCTTTTCCTGATGGGACCTTAATGAAACTGCCCTTCTTCTACGCACTGATATTCCGTACCATCAGCTATTTGTTCGTACTTCGCTGCATTACACAGCAGCCCGTATCCACTTGCATAGGTGGTATATGCTCTGTTCTTTATATCTCTCTCCTTCTCGGGCATTATCTATTCCGGATATTGCCTTCTCTTGTTTCGTCATTACCGCCACCGCTTCTGTTACTTGGCGATTTTAATGCCCATCATTTCCTCTGAGGAGGGTCTCACTGTGATTCCCGTGGCATTCAGTTAAAAGGCTTTTCTTGCTACCCACCCCCTCCATGTTTTAAATACAGGTACTCACACCCAATTTTGATCCTCGGACTCACACTCTCTCTTGCATCGATCTCTCAGTCTGCTCTTCCTCCGCCGCATTAGACATCACCTGGTCTGTTCTCCCGGATTTACATGACAGCGATCATTTCACAATCATTCTTACTTCCCCTTCATATTCACCACCTCTTCGTATCCCACGCTGGCAATTTGATCAGGCAAATTGGAACCTTTACTCACAACTAACTGTTTTTAGTGAGGTTCCTTCTTCGTCCTCCATTGATGAGC